GATTGGAAAAACCATAACCAGAGAAAATTTACAGCATTTCTCTAACAGATAGATCGGGAATTAGGGGCAGAAACACCTCTCGTCCTTGTCCTTGTCCTGATGTAAAAGTATCAAAAATAGTGTTGAAAAATTTGTTTTGAGATTAGAAAAAGACCTTATGCATTATGTTTTCCTGGTAGCCTGAGAAAATTTACATTTTCCTAACAGACACTCCGTGAATTAGAGGCAGAGGCACCTGCACGAACATTATATTCTCCTAATACAAAGTTTAAACGAAAATTATTCCTTTTTCAGAACCAGTACCCCCCCCCCCCCCTACCCACCGCCACTAACAAAGTTTTGGACAATTCTCCACACTATGTAGTTCAAAATCAAAACCATAGAAGTTGGTCATTTTTTAAATTAAACAAAAAATGCCCTGCAAAGTGAAGCATCTGAATAACTCAAGCAGAAGAATTGTAACGATTTGAAGAAACAAAAAAATTTTTTAAGATTTTGAAGAATTTCGACAACAATTCGAAGAAATTAAAGAATCCAGAAAATTGAAAAGACTATTTGAAGAATAGGAATGATTTTTAAAAATGCGAAGATTAAAAAAATCAAAAGGTGAAGAAACCTAACATTTCACAGAATCTTAAGGGCCTATACGTAGTCAGCAGAAAATATAAAGCATCGATAGCATTCTCCGAAACTGAAGCATTTAAAGCATAAGAAAAATTTAAAAAAAATTGAAGAATTCGAAGAAATCTACAGATGAAGAATTTGAAAAACGATTTAGATTTGAAGAATATGAAAATAATTGAAAAAATCTGCAAGTGTTTGAAGCACCCAAGATGAATTCGAAGAATTGGAAACTGGGAAAGTGAAGAATTTGGAGATATGGAAGGATTCAGTAGTGCTAGAAGATTTACCTCGAGCTTAGAAAAAGCTCATGGATAAACAGACCTCACAGAGTATGTTCTCCTGGTAACTAGAAAAAATTACATTTTTTTAACAGACACTTCACAAATTAAGAGCAGAGGCATCTGCTCGCTATTATTCTTCTGATACGACAGTTTAAACGAAAATAACCCCTTGAGATGAAGAAGATAGTTCCTCGTAGATTCTGTTGCCCTGGTAATCAGAGTAAATTTCTAACATTTTTGTACAGTATACAATCCATGGATTATGGGGGGGTCTGGGAGGTATGTAAAAAGAAAAAAAATGTCCCTACATCTGTCATAGAACCTTCGAATACTGGGGGGTATTTAATATGTTCTGTCTTAAAACGCTCAGCCCTAAGGACTGAGGTATGGAATACTCCTAGTATACAAAGGTCTTATGACAGTTGTAGGGAAATTAGTTCTTTTTCCTAGGGGGGAGGGGTGTTCCATACACCCCCCCCCACCCTCGGTTTGATACTGTTCATCCTTAACACCATTATTTTTTGCAGGGACGTAAACTTTAGCGGGCCCTGTGCAACACAAAACATACGGCCCCCACATTAAAAAAAATCACTAGCATAATAGTTTATTGAACAATGCACAAAAACGTATGGCTGAACAATGGTAACCAACATGATAACATAAATTCAATTCAATATAAGACAGCTACCATACCTACATACCTTCTAATACTGCCGATTTGTAATTGTAACCCAGCATCAACGATGTACGTAAAAATAAAAGTTTTGAGCCTTAACGATATACGATTCGATTAATGAAAAACTAACACTCGTGAGTTGGGGCACGCACAAACTGACAAACGCGAAAAACGAAACAAACAAATTATTTAATCCAGTGAGCCAGTGTAATAATTTTTAATTTTAAAACCTTAGAAACACAATTTAAAATAACTTCGAAGCGAAGGGTAAAGTAAAACTGCCATGCAAGTGCAAGAAAAGAAATGTTCTTTAAAATACGCGTAGGTAGCAAAACAAACGAACGAATATGATTTATGGTTACTGAACTAAAATTATTAACATCAAGAATGCCGCATCCGGCATCGGCATGAGGCATCATATAACACTTTTTACTGGTAAATTTGCTTAAACGTGATGGACGTGTTGTAAAGGGATTAAAATGAATTCTTAGAGTCGGTCCCTACCACAGTGCGCTTATCTCTTAAAGGAAGGATTATGATTCATGAAGGTCTGCCGATATATTGCTAAATTTACATTTTAACAGAATAAGTACAATAATAACCAATTTCTTAAAATCCTTCTGTACCCCATATTTTTTAGTAATTTCTTGTTCTAACATTATACCTTTCATTGATTATGTAACAGTAACATAGAAATAGTTTAAACAAAGTAAACGCCGGGCCGGGCCCCTTCGGCGCCCGGGCCCTGGTGCGTCGCACCAGTTGCACCTCCTGTTGCTACGTCCCTGATTTTTGAGAGTCGCAGATAAAGAGAACCCATTTCTTACAACTGCCATAAAACCTTCATATACTGGAGAGTATTCCATCCCCCAGACTGGGGTTCTGGGGGTATGGAATAACCCCCCCCCCGAAAAATAAGTTTCCCTACAATGGACTTAAGACCTTTGTGTACGGGCAGTAATATGTTCTGCCTCAAAACGTTCACAGCCCTATAAGGACTCTTTCCTCAACTCTCCAAAAATGCTCGTGTTAAGTAAAACAATACCACACCGGGGTTCTGTGGGGTAATCCAATACCCCCCAGGAAAAAGAGAACAAATCTCCCTACACCTGTCATAAAACAGATATTCCATAACCCCTTAGAACCCCGGTGACAATTCTGCCTCAAGAGGTTCAGTCGTAAGGACTCTTTCCTCGACTCTCCAAAAATCGTGGTGTTAAGTAGAACAATATCAAACCGTAGGGGGAGGGGGGGTCTGGGAGGTATGGAAAAACAAAGCAAATTTCCCATACCCCCCCGGGAGGAAAAAAAACAAATTTCCCTACATCTGTCATAGAACCTTCCTATACTGGGGGGTATTTAATATGTTCTGCCTTACTCCCTCCAGGAAAAAAAAACAATTTCCTTAAAACTACCATATCACCAACTGTCAGGTACTCCCCAAAAATCATGGTGTTAAGGACAAACAACACCAAATCGGGGGTCTGAAAGGTATGGAATACCCCCCACCCCCTGGAAATAGAACTAATTTCCCCTACAATTGTCATAAGACCTTCGAATACTGGGGGGAATATTAGACCTCCCCTGGTAACATGTTCTGCCTCAAAACGTTAAACCCTAAGTACTCTTTCCCCAATTTACAGCATTTTTTGAACAGATACTTCGGAAATTAGGGGCAGGAACACCTGCTTCACATTATATTCTCCTGATACAGCTCTTAATAAAAGGAGTGTTTCCTTGAAGTTAGAAAAGACCCCCTCATGGATTATATTCTCCTGATAGCCAGACAAAATTTACATTTTTCTAACACGCAGAAACACTTCCTCGTACATCATATTCTCCTGATACTAACGAAAGATAATCTGTTGAAACATTTGTCGTGAGCTTAAAAACAAATTTCCATTTTCCTAACAGAACAGGAGCAGAAGCACCTTTTGTACAGGGTGGCCAAATAAGAATGTGAGGTACTGTATCTGGGAACCTGTCCATCGTAGAGGCTTGCGGTAAAAAAAGTTATTACTAAAACGGTCACGAGAAAAACCTGGAAAATATTTTTAAGTTTCTGAAATGGCGCTAGGGGGCGGAACTGCCATCTGGAATCTAAAAAAGTGATTTTTCTGTGCATTTCGCTATATTAACTCGGGTTAATTGAAAAGAGTTATTCTTTGGCTACAAATATTATAATATTTGAAGTTTTGTTAGTTTCACATATCGCCGCTTGAGGGCTATTTTGACATTCCGACAGAAATGGTTAATTTTCTCAAAAAATTAAAGGCGATGGTTTGATTTTTTTTTCATGAAAAAGTAGCTAAATGATGCCTAAGCAAGCTCGCGAAAACCGCATCTCGATATCTTGTTCCTAACATAACATTTAGGCCAAAAAAAAATTGTATACCCTCAAAATTCTATTTTTTTAAGCTAATTTTTCTCAAGATATCGAGATGCTGTTTTCGCGAGCTTGTTTAGGCATCATTTAGCTACTTTTTCATGAAAAAAAATCGAACCAATGCATTTAATTTTTTTGAGAAAATTAACCATGTCTGTGGGAATGTCGAAAAAAGCCCTCAAGGCGTGATATGTGAAACTAACAAAACTTCAAATAGTATAATATTTGTAGCTGAAGAATAGCTCTTTTGAACTAACCCGAGTTTGTTTAAATCGGCTCAGCCGTTTCGAAGATACAGGGTGTTCTTTACGGAAACCTTTGAATACCCCCCACCACTTCATTTTTAGAGATACAGGAAAAATTGTTAAACAAAAATTGTTCAGATTATCGTCAACTTCAAAGACCGGATATTTTTTGTTAGGTTAATATAGCGGAATTCGCAGATACATCACATTTTTAGATTCCAGTAAAGTCACTAGATATAGAAAGTACCGCAATCATCCGCCATTTTTGGGCAAATTTTCTGCCAACTTAAAAAAATTGACAAATAAAATCTGAATAGCTGTAATTTTTTCTAACCTAACTTCATAGTACTGTCATGTTTTATAAAAATATATACAGATATCTCCAACCCAAAAAGAATACCAGGAAGGAGAATATAAACAATATACGTGCGACCGCGATGGCTTTTGCAAATGGCGGACAGTAGTTTCCTGTTCCAGTGGCGTACCTACCTTACAGTTGTAGAAGGATACAATATAAAGAATTTTGCACGAAAACAATCTAAACCCCCATGTGTCTACTACGCCTATGACTTTTTTTTAACTAACCTCAAACTACATTCCGATAAAAAATTTGTAAATTTACATGTACTATATAAAAATAATATTGGTATCAATACTTACATATGAAATGTAATTCCCAAACTTTTATTTTTTTCCGTTTTGGAACAACCACAAGCACAACAACTAACCATTATTTTATGTCACTGCAAAAACCCCAACAAAAATGAGTCATAAGTGGCTTTTGCAAATGGCCGACTCCCGTCCCACTCTCTCTTGTATACAACCTGAGTAATACTCCTTCCTGGTATTATTTATTCATTGCTCCAAACAGATGGAACAATCCCTAACATTAAAGTTACTAGAATCCGGTAACTTCCGCCATTTTTGGGCAAAAATCATGTGTTCTCTCTCTAACACACGAGCCCAATGGATTGCGGTACTTTCTATATTTAGTGACTTTACATTCCAGATTGCAGTTACGCCCCCTAGCGGTCATTTCAAAAACTTAATATTTTCCAGGTTTTGCTCGTGGCACTTTTTTACCGCAAGCCTCTACGATGGATAGATTCTCAGATACTTACCTCGCATTCTTAGTTGGCCACCCTGTACATTGTATTGTCATCATAAAGGAAAATAAGATGTTTCTTTTGAGCCTAGAAGGAGACATCCTCGTGGATTGTGTTTTCCTCATGACCAGAGACAATTTTCAGTATTGGGCAGACTAACAGCTCCTCGCCATTATATTCTCCTGATACATGCTTAAATGAAAATAGTGTTGGAACATTCCCTTGAGCTTAGAAAAAGACCTCATGCATTATGTTCTCCTAGCAGACAGAGGAAATTTACAATCATTGAGTGAGCTAAGAACAGAAACTCATGCTCGATATATAGTCCTGCTATAAATTTTGGAAAATGTCGCTGAAGCTCTTTAGGGATTGTATTCTGGGGGGCAAAAAAATCACAGGAGCAGATACACTTTATTGAGCGTGTCAAAAATAAAGTGAAGTGAAAGTATTGCCATGGACGCATGCGCGGGACGAACCTTCTTGTATCGTGTCAAAATGTGCGCATGCGCAGGACCATTTTGTTTTTTTTTGAGTGAATAAAAGCAAAGCAAAGAAATGCCAACCTCCTTATCTGTACGCAAACAAATGATTTTTGTTTTTGTATTTTCGCGCACTAATTTTTGTCCAACTGTTACAAGTGGGCGTGGCTAACTCTCACCTGTACTATCGTCGACGTCAAACTTAAAATACGAAATATTCACAAGACCAGAATCCTGATGCATGTACATCATGTCGGGATTAAGGCGGGTCAAATGTAAAACATACTCCGCGAAACAGGCCAACGACAACTGTAGGGTAAACTGAAAGTGTCGTTCGTTAGTAGGCGCGAATATTCCGGACGTTACCTACCATCTTCCGAAACTGCCAATAGTCCGTGGCCGATTGAAAAGTGGCGAGCGCCCATTTCCTTAACATGTTTCTCGGTACCATTATGTTTTGCACACCCTTCAGTATGTCACGATACACCTGGTGGCTCGCCTTGATACCTCTACTTTGGATTGTTGTAATTAGCAGATTCCAAACAAAAATGCAGTAGAATTGGTAGAATATCGAGGCTTCTTTAATTCAAAGTTAATAAGGAGATTCAGTTCCAATTCTAATATTTTTCTATTGTCAAAAGATTACAAGTCAACAACAATTTCTATAACAACCAACACAGTTTTTTTTTTACAGCTACTATCATGAGGCCTAGTACGCTTCGCTGCACTATCTTGTGCATTTCACAATACTCTCAACACTTGCCCTTGAAATGCTTAAGACCTATTTTGTGTTTTTCAAACTGCAAATCCCAATGCGGCTTCGCAGACTCTCAAACACAGCCACCGAGTCGATCCTCTTTGTCATAATGTCCGCTAGCTGATTCTCAGTTGCGACATGCTCAACATCTAATCGCCCTTCAGCTACCAAATCTCGAATCCAGAAGAATCTTACTTCAATGTGCTTCGTTCGTCTATTAATCAGCTCACTTTGAATTAGATCAATACAGCCGATATTGTCGATTTTCAGACTTGGCTTCGTCATCTCATCTCTCCTTTTTGTGTCATCCAATAATTTCTGTAACCACACGACATCCTTCGCAGTCTCACCTGCAGCAATTAGTTCAGCCTCTGCGGTAGATTGCGCTACGCACTGTTGTTTCCTGCTTGCCCAGGTGACCGCTGTTCCTCCAATCAAACACACGACACCTGAAGTTGACTTTCGGTCAGCCTGATCTCCTGCATAGTCCGCATCTGAATACGGCACCAGCTCGTCCTTCTGCCCCGCCTTATAAAGCAGACCCAAATCAAAGCTTCCTCGCACGTACTTCATTATTTGTATAACATCTCGCCAATCTCTTTTGGTCGGATCAGCCACCTTCTTTGCAGCTTGATTTACCGAATATGCAAGATCTGGTCGAGTATAACAGGCGGCATACATCAGTTTTCCAACCACCGTCTGGTACTTCTTCTTCATTTCCTCCTCCAGACGTGGTGTTTTGTCCTGTTCTCGATGATTTGCCCCAGGTAGTCTCACGGAGTTGCACTTCTCCATCTGGAAATCTTGCAGCACACGCTCCAGGTACGCAGACTGGTGGAGAAATACCGCACCATCAGCACCGCGCTTAATCTGCACTCCCAGATAACTTGAGACATCACCAAGTGTTAACTGAAACTCAGTTTTCAGTGCTGCCAGCACCTCCTCAATTTTCGCTTGCTCTCTTCCAAGAATAAGACCGTCATCAACGTATAATAGCAGCAATGTCATATCATCTTCTCGAATATAAAGACACGGATCAGCTTGGCTACGCTTGAATCTTATCTCAGTCAACTTTTGATGGATCTTCACGTTCCAGCACCTTGGAGCTTGCTTCAGACCATATAGACTTCTTTTTAGACGCCAGACTCGACCGCTTCTGTCATCGAAACCTTCAGGCTGACGCATGTATACCTCCTCATGAAGATCACCGTTCAGAAAAGCTGTCTTTACATCAAATTGGCTGATTTTCATATTATACTGCGATGCCATCTGCATTACGAACCGGAAAGTGTCTGCCTTGGCCACTGGAGAAAAAGTCTCACCAAACTCATCTATGCGCTGGCGACATCCTAATGCAACTAGTCTTGCCTTAAATCTTGAGATTGAACCGTCCTCTGCAAGCTTCAGCTTCAAAACCCACTTGGCTGGTAGCAGCCGTTTACCTGGTGGCATCTGCACGAGCTGGAATACCTGGTTGTCGATCAGCGAGTCAATTTCCTCCTGCATCGCAAGTTTCCACTCATCCGCATGCTCGCTCTGCATTGCCTCCTTTGCAGTCTTTGGTTCAGGAAATGCAGTTATCATCGCTACTGCCACCAAGTTAAGTTTCTCGGGAGCCTTCAGATTCTCACGAGGTCGAAGGTTTCTAACCGGAGCATCTTCTGGCACTGGATCTGCCAGGTCTTCCTCATTAAGCTCCACCTCGTCATTCAATTCGACTGGATCTAGCTCAACCACCACTTTCTCTGCTTGCCCTTGCTTGACAGTCTCATCGTCCACCTCAGTGTGGATCTCTAGAGTATGCACTTCAGGAACAGCCTTTGCTCGTTCCTCCACATTTTCAATCAATGGACCTGTCAAGAACTTCACATGCTTGGACGTCCACACCGTGTGCTTGCTTGGAAGCCAGACTCGGAAGCCATCATCACCTACGTACCCAACAAGTCTGCCCTCGATCCCTTTTGCCTGCATCTTCCTGCGTTGCGTCCGATCATCAAGTACAAAACATGAGGTTCCAAATGGTCGCATATGTTGCACCGTATGTCTCTTACCGGTCCACAGCTCTAACGGTTGCTTGCCCTTGATTTGAGATGGTGCTGCCCGATTTAAAGTGTATGCTGCTGTGACCACTGCCTCATCCCACAGAAACTCTGGCAGACCCGAACCGTGCAGCATTGACCGTGCAGCTTCTTGTACCGTCCGATTCTCACGCTCAACCAACCCATTCTGTTGAGGAGTGTACGGCATCACAATCCTGTGCTCGATTCCCTCAGCACTCACCAGTTGTCGCACCTTCTGGTTATCAAACTCCCCTCCGCCATCCGTCTGAAGCTCTTTGATGACATGCTGAAGTGCCTTTGCCCGTGCGATGAACGTGGTCAGGTGTCCCACCAACTGGTCCTTTGACTTCATCAAGTATACCTGTCTGTAACTGGAGAACTCATCCTTGAAAACTGCAAAGAATCTCGATCCCCCTCTGGCAATTGGCTCGATTGGTCCACAGACATCCGCATGAACTCGGTCTCCTGGAGCAGTAACATCCTTCACCCTCCTTCCGAAGCTGACTCGATGGAACTTCCCTTTCAAGCAACCTTCGCAGTCACCGCAGTCATCATCTATGTCTCGGATATTCACCCCTTCGTCCCTCATCAACTGGAGCAAGTCCTTCTTGTTAAGATGTGCAAACGTCTTGTGCCACATCCTCAGGCTCTCCCTCCGCTGACTCAGCAAAGCTTGTTCATGGTTGATCATTACAGCTGGCATCTTGACCTCGAAGTTACTCATCTCGCACATCGAGTTCACCATTTTCCCCGCCAAGTACCTCTCTCCCATTGGAAATCCTCGTCTGTTCTTCTTGTACAAGCCCCACTGCTTACTATCTCCCAGCTGGCACATATCAACAAACTTATTCAGGATCATCCCTACTGAGACGAGATTGGCACGAAACTCTGGAGCGAACCACATGAGCATTATCCAGTTGTGCGTCTGCCCATCACAATTCACGACCATTTCAACTGTTCCCATACCCACTGCATGACTGATTCCATTGCCCACCGTCACCGACTTTGGTTCACTGAAGGGTTGATAGGATTGGAACATGTGAGGTGATGAAATGAAATGTACACTGGCTCCACTGTCTATGTACCACGGTTTAGCACCTTTTTTGGACTGAGGTGTCATCGCCAATTCACCGCTGGCTGCCATTGCTTGCCCGAATTCTGCAGCAATCGCCAGGTTACTTACTAAATTAGTTTTCTTACCCTCTTTCTTCCCTGGACAGGCCCTTGCCCAGTGACCCTTCATCTGGCAATGCCTGCAGACATCATCTGGTTTCGGCGTTCTGGCAGTTTTCTTTCCACTGGAGGTGCTCGACCTACTTGCAGACGACTTTTTTGCTTGTTGTCTCAGCACAGTACTCGCCACCAACCCGTGCACACCACTGCTCTCTGCCTGTTGCTCGCGCTGCTCTCTGGCAACCAGCATCTCAACCAATCGATCGTATGTCTGCTTCTCCTCTGGTTGCGTGTCCCATAGATCCAAGAAATCTATGTACCGCTCCTGAGGTAGACTGTTCACCAGCATGAAGTTCAACAAAAAGTCTGGTAGAACAACCTTTTTCTCCTGTTGACTGGCAATCTGTAGTTCCATCCAGGTTGACTGCACCCTTGCTGCATGAGTGGTTACGTCCTCTTCATCAGACTTCCTCAGCGTCACCAGCTTAGTCAGCAACCGATAAACTCGACTCGACGTCTTCTGCTCGTAGATGGACAATAGTTTCTTCCATATTTCGTATGGGCTAGTACATGCTGAAACCTTGAACAGGACCTCATCAGAGAGAGTAGATCGCAGGCAATGCCTAGCCATTGCAGCCTTCTTCTGGTACTTGGCAAGCTTCTTGGTATGCTCTGCAATCGCTGCTGCATCCGATTGTGCTTCCAGACTCGGTTTTATGAAAGACTCCTCAATAGCATCAGCTACATCGGCGATAGTTAGAATATCCTCAATTGACATCTTCCACTCGCTCCAATTCTCGGCTCCTTTCAAAGGTTTTACATCTATCTTTTTCATATTGACTGAATTTCTACTTAAATCCGGCACTCAACAAAATTTTACCAACGTTACAAGACTACCATAACCTGTTGTAATTAGCAGATTCCAAACAAAAATGCAGTAGAATTGGTAGAATATCGAGGCTTCTTTAATTCAAAGTTAATAAGGAGATTCAGTTCCAATTCTAATATTTTTCTATTGTCAAAAAAGATTACAAGTCAACAACAATTTCTATAACAACCAACACAGTTTTTTTTTTACAGCTACTATCATGAGGCCTAGTACGCTTCGCTGCACTATCTTGTGCATTTCACAATACTCTCAACATGGATAGCTGCCAAACGCTCGTAGTAGTAATGGATGGGCGCGTCGTGCTCGATATCTATGCACGATAATTGCTTAGTTGCTTTAAACTGGCTTCACTTACTCAGCTTTGTACACCCCTGTTTGAAGATGTCCAGTAAGGAGACCGATGACGGATTGTCCTCAATCAGTCTAATCTGCTGAGACACGGCGACGACTCTGGGCACGGTGAAGTGCAAGAATCTCTTCGAAGTCTCCTTGTGTTTACCAAGGTAGTGGTTGAGCATTCTCAGCACTTGCAGGACTCTTTCTTCGCGCCGCGCGTCGGCGAGGCCCGAGTCATTCACGACCAAGTACGGGTAGATTTTTCCGTTGTGCCCCCGTATGTACAGCCGACGGGCGGCGCAGTTGTGCTTTTGAACGATATCGACCCGCGGCATGAACCTGGTGATTCTCACGTAGTAATGGGTGTGCTTCGGTAGCAGAAACTCGCCCGGCAGCTCGACCTCGGCGGTTTTCAGCGTGAAATTGGAGAGAAACCTGCACTTTTCCTCCATTAGGAACGATCTGAAAAACGCAATTGTCACACTGTAACGTGAAACGAACTTATAAATTAAGATGGACTGCTGATCAAACAGTTGCATAGAGGTAGAAATGGTCCTAGCATGGGCGCGGCCATTTTAGATATTTTCTAGGGGAATTTTCCTAGTGCTCAAGTTTTGAAACTATAGCAGCCTTGGAAAATGACATGTGTCACAGTAATTTATTTAGAAAACGTGAGGTTAATGCTTGTTTATTAGTTGATTTGAATTTCGCGCCAAGTGAGTGCACATCATGGCTGCCCCCATGTAGGTGTCATTTGTCAATTCAGCATTAGCAGTCCATCTTAATTTATAAGTTCGTGAAGTGAATGCTCACTGGATCAGCATCTTCGACCGGTTCTCCAAGATCTTAATCCATTTCTTCAACTTAAATATCAGCGTGTGGAGGCGCATCGCTCCCGAATGGGAGAAGTCAAAGTCTTTCGCGAATTCCAACTTCATCTCCTTAAAGACGGGATCCTGGTAGGTGGCCTCCGCGCGCCTCGCCAAACTCTCGGAGGCGGCCGAATTGAACTGTACGTTGGTCGAGCTCGATATGTTCTCCACCCCGATTCCGAAGGTGGACACGAGTTTTTTGACAAAGTTCAAAATGTGCGGGGTGATTTTGGCTTCGTTGACGCTCTCGCGATTTTCGAACGCGATCGCGTAGCACTTCGCCAGCCCTTGGCGCAGTTGCCGCACGACCTCCTCGTACCAGTTCTCTCTGAACCACTCCATCTGCGAACATTTGGGAGTGAATTCGACCATTGTGCTTGTTCGAGTTACCTGATCCGCTATCCCTTCCAAGCTGGACAGGACTGTCGTGTGAATGTCACGTTGCATTTTCATTATTTTGGAGCAGCGGATCATTGCGGGGGTGGCTTTGATCGCGGACGCTTCCGTCGTGATCGTGCTGGCGTTGCTCGCGCCGTCTTGGTTCTGGTTTGCTAGGGATGTGTGGGTTTGATCTACATGGGTCTCTTGCGACTGTTGCTGAAAACAGGAATGTGAGCGGCAACACTGGGAGGGCGTGGTTTGGCTTTACCTGTACTGTATTTGTTTTGCGCGCAGTTGCGGTGCGCAGTGTTAAATACAAAGTACGAATTGGAAAATAGACAGCTTGCGGAAACATTCGTCCAACCTGACAACATATTTCCATTAGACAATGACTTGCAAGTTAACGAGCAAAATTACCTGAAGTAACAGATTCAAAATAACATTCCCCTCGTACTGTACAAGGCAGTTGAGTAATTGGGGTATCCACGGTACCCAGAGAATCGGCGGAACCCCAACCGAATATTTATCTAGAGCTTCCATTAGACTGCACTTTTCGTCGTCGTAACTGAGCAGCCACAGAACCTTTGCCAGGTACTTTCTCGCCTTAGACTCGTTTTGATGTCTACATGCGTGCAGGAAACAGGTCATCGCGTTAATGCCCAAAGTGATCTGTCTGTGGTCACGCGTAAACACGTGCTCTAGGTAATCGCCGTATAGGGCCCACGCTTTGACAGACGTGTCGTGCATTTGTACTGCGGCAGAAAACGCCTTATTCGCCTCGTCCGATTTACCTAAAATATCAGGAATTTTATTCGTAAAAAAAACAAACACCCGACGGAACACAGCATATTTGCCATATTTTCGTAATTGCAATTACAAGCTTTCCTCTATTTCTTCCCGTTTTACGCATCGCGAGTAGGTATAGCAGTTACAGTCAGACGGGTTTGAAGAGCGCGGTTGCGAGAAAACAGACGAGAGTCGCCAAGTTTGCGTTGGTTCCGCATAGATTTTATTAGTCCGGCAACGATTATAGATAGTGTAATCAAACCGAATTTACCCGCTAAAATTCGATTTAAATATTCCCGAAACCGATCCTGGCGCGACGAAAAAAAGTCAAGATTGCGCTTTGTTTCATTTCCGTGGAACACGTGTTTTTTTTCTTCTCTGCTCTACATTGAAATGGGCCATAATTTACAATAAAAGTGTCTTATATAACGCTATGCGAGGGAACTTAATGATCCCTTTCCCTATCGACCCGACGTCTCGGAGCACGGTCGATATTAACAATTTTCGTCTAGGATTTGCTTAAAAAGGGAAGATTTAGGCAGAGGTATTTGTGCTTTTGTTGAGGGTAGAAGTAATTTTTACGTTGCGAATAGTGAGTGCGACAATTACAAAGGTGATTCACTCGTTTTTTTTATCCTTACATGTATTGCATCCCTCTAGTAATTGTGTGATCGTGTTCGATTATTTGTCAATTTAACGACATTCCAGTATAGCGATGGTCATCGGATGACCATTGTCATTTATAACGTATTCTAATTACACATTGCTCGTTTGTAATATTATTCTGAGCGTACTTTGAATTAAATGCATGGAGAGTCTACGTGAATATGTTGTCTTCCAATTTACAGTACTTTGTTCCTAGCGCTGGTTTACCTGCCAACCCACAAGATGCATTACTGACCGATTTACGTGGTTTTAATTATACACGGTGTCCATTTTTCTAGTGCCACTATGGGGATCTCACTTATCTTAAGGGATAGAAAGTTGGTTAAATGGCGGCAAAGTTGCAAATTTCCGTGATATATAACAATCTGAAAAGAAATTTGAATAGTTTTGAAGATATCGCAAAAAAACGAACATTTCTGATTTTCGTTTTTAATTTTGTTATGATAAACTAATCGTAGTAGACATTTCTAATTAACACATTATTCGGATACTTTTTAATGGAGATTTCAAATATGGCATCCCGTTTTTAATTACTTTCAAGATGTGACAACTTTAGTTTTTCTTATGGGCGCCATATTGAATTTTGACATTTTGGAATTACGTCTTTTTTTCTCTTTACAACGATATATCACACATGGTGGTTCAGTATCACATTTTTTCTAAAAACACAATTTTTAATTTTTTGAGAAGAGTGCTTTGGAAAAATAAAACGTTCTTTTGTTGTAAACAAAAGTTTGGCAGTTTGATAATGTCTGGTTGAAGCGTTGTCAGAAAAAGTGTCCGAATAATTTGTTCATTAGAAATGTCTACTACGATTAGTTTATCATAAAAAAATTAAAAACGAAAATCAGACATTTTTGTTTTTTTGTGATATCTTCAAAACTATTGAAGATATTTCAAATTTCTTTTCCGATTCTTATTCAGCACGAAAATTAGCAACTTTGCCCCCATTTAACCAACCTTCTATCCCTTAAGATAAGAGAGATCCCCATAGTGGCACTCGAAAAATGTTCCGTTATGGATGATATTCAATACAAGTATGCAGAACTACATTTTCATTTATAATTGAATTTATTGCAGCACATTTCGCTTTTTTTTGCATGAATATGTTACTGTTTATTTACAGGATGCTTCATCTGGGGGCGAGTGGCGTACGTTAGGTGGTTGATTGTTACATATTGCACTTGGCATTGAGAATTAATTACTTTATACTGATGCTTTGCCACGACATGTTCCTTTGTTTTTGTTGTAACGTGATACTTAACGTTATGCTCCTACTATTTATTTGAACCGAATGATTATGATTATTAATATTTGGCAGAGTGACTTGTTTCGAATATGTACTGTGCTATATTTGATTCTGATATTTGATACTGTAATTTAATCTCGATTTGACGTAGCAGAGGCTGGCTAAAGTTCAGAACTGACATACGCAGAGATATATATGTTTTATGTACTGTTTTTTTTTTGTATCTTCGAAAAGAACCATCTTGTCGATATTGCTAATCAATTCGTTTAGTCGATCCCTGACATATAGTGACCGAATATTGGTTTTGTGTCAGTCTTTGTTATGTCAGTGCAAATATGTCAACTGTCAACGCCTACATAAATTCTGTATATTTTGTTAATGATTATGTATCTTAGACCATATGGACTGCTAATTGTAACTAAAATATGGTCAAGGACATCGCCTGGGTATGTGAGTTTCAGGGTAAACGAGTCTGTCCGATTAGACACGATTTGAGACTGTCAACCTATAAATTAACAAACGTCAATTAATTAACCGCCTAGATATTCCAAAAAAGCAAACCTATCGTTATCTGTGGACGTATATAGAAGGTAATCAAGCGTATTTAAAGCTTCCCGTACTACGCAGTTACTATAAAAGCTACTCTTTACGCGATCCGAGTGGTGTTTACACGACTTTAGTTTACCCTGAGATTCACACACCCACGACTGCAGTGCCCTCTATCCGTGACCACCCATTTTGTATTGAAAGCATAGGGCTAATAGCAGTCCATGTACTATATGGTCTAAGTTATGTATGCGTGAGAGTTTGCCGATGGTTGCTCTGTTATTTTTGTTATGTCATGATTTGTCTTTTGATCGGTTACTGTCAGTAATAGTAGAGAGCCTGGAGTTCGGTAATTTATAACCCGGCACTTTATAACTAGTGGGTTGGACTGGCCCTAGAGATGCGTGAATGAATGAGTTGGGGTCCCGCTTAGTCGTATATGAGGGCGCTGGCTAGGCTCGGCCTCACTTGCGCAGGGATTCGCTAAAAGCGTGCGGCGTGTTCTCGTTGTGATCTGTCACATGTCATGACCAGAGCAGCTAAAGACTACTCGGTGTGGGATTTGGACTGGCCATCCACTATCCAAACTTATTATCTGAATTTATTGTAATGTTTTTTTGTTATGCGTGTGCAATACTGCTTCTTTAGGAATTCCAGTGGAGCCTGTGATTCGACATTATATAAATTTACTTGACAACCATCATAATATGCATTCATGCCATTACAGACAACTAATTTTGCTATAAAGTTCAAGATTAATTTTTTTGGCTGGTTTTTTTCTTGGTCAGTTCTTTTTTTCCCAGCCTATTGTTTGTACTCGGTGAACTACCATTTTCTAAATTTAATCATGCAATGCGAAGTATTTGGATTAAATCTCCGTTTTTAAAGCATGTACTTGTTTTATTTGCATTCCCTCACTCCGACAAGCAACACATATCTTGTAGCGACTCTTAAAAAAACACATCGTAGTAAGTGATCCTGTTATTCGGTTATTCAGGTTAGGTAACTTTATCTAGACGATCACGTGCCATGGAGTTCAATTAGTTTGGGAGGGAAAGTTTTGAATTTAAATCTTGAGTTGCGCAGTCCCTCGTGGCTGGCCTGGGTACGTCGCAATAGTAATAGCACAGATGTAAATATACCAGCCTCTGGTGCGTTAAATCCAAACTGAATTAGTGTTAAGTAGTGATAATAGAATCAACAAAACTAAACATGAAAAATTAAGCAGCGTGTATAAAGGACATTACCATTGACGACGTACTTTATAGGAAACAATGACTTTTATAAATAACTTAACAAATGAGTTTAAATGAATCTTAGAATCGGTTTAATAATATGTTGGAATATAATTATAATCAAGTTTGATATTCATACAGCGCCAGCTTAGTATATAAGTAATTTTGAAATATGTCAAAAATTTAATTCAAGAAATGTGTTCATTGTAAGTTTGTATTAAAACTGATTTTCGTGTTGACTGATTAAAAACTTTCATCGAACTTATTCTGATAATATTCTCACATAATAGCTATTATAATAACTAGGTGTTTTATAAGTGCGTCCAAGGGCGATATTTAAATCTGAGCGGCCGACAGATTTAAATATTACCGAAGCCGCCCCTAGCCGCCAAGAAAGAATTCAAAAATTACGTTTTGTCTCCGTAGAACACGTGTTTTTTTCTTCTCTGCCCTACATTCAAATAGGCCATAATTTACAATAAAAGTGCCAAAAATAACGCTATACGGGGGAAGTTAGTGATCCATATCGACCCGACGATCCGGAGCGCGTCAATATTAGCTATCTCTACTTCGATTCTGACCAAAGAAGGGAATCTTAGGGGAGACGTATGTGGGCTTTGGTCGAAGTAGTTACTGTGAGCGTCTCAACTATTATTCAGATGCTGTATTTTTCTTCTTTTATCTTTACGTTTATTGCATCCATCTAGGTAGATTACTTGCCAAATTAATGACATTCCAGTACAGCATGGGCATTGTCATTTATAGCGCTTTACAAATTGCTCTGTTAGAATTATGCTGATCATACTTTTAATTAAATGCAAGATTCCATTCTGTTTGATTTGTAATTATGTTGTTTTCCAATTTACAGTATCATTGTAGTTAGACAAGTGACCCTTTTGTTCCTAACGCTGGTTTTCCTTGCCAACCTCCAGCATGAAGTCCTGACAGATGTACGTGTTTTCATTTATATTTAGATACAGTATGTTCCCTTAGCGATGATATTCAATACGTGCAGAATTTAACCATTTAATAAATATTATAGCGATTCGAGAATTTATACTTTATTTGAACCGAGTAATTATGATTATTAATACTAGGTAGGGTAACTTGTTTCGAATATGTATTGTGCTTCCGATATTTTATCTCGACTTGATGTAGCAGATGAAGGTGGCCAAACTCCACACCTGACATACGCAGAGATATATATTTATATGTACTGTTTTTTGTGTCTTAGAAAAGAGCCATCTTGCCGATATTGCTAATCAATCCTTTGGGTCGACCCTTGACATGTAGTGACCGGATATTGGTTTTGTGTCAATCTTTGGTATGCCAAGGCAAATATGTCAACTGTCTAAGCCTACATGAATGCCATATATTTTGTTTATGATTATATACTTATGACTGGCCATCCAATCTCCAAACTTATGTGAATTTAATGTAAAGTTTTAATGTTTGTTTTTTTTGTGTTATGTGTGTCAAATGTGTCAGTGAAATCTATGAAGCGACAAATGTACTTGACAACCATCATAATATGGGTCCATGTCATTACAGACAACTAATTTTGCTAAGTTTAATTTTAATTTGTTGGCTGGTTTTTTTCTTGGTCAGTTCTTTTTTTCCCAGCCTGTTTTTATATTTGTACTCGGTAAACTGCCATTTTCTAAAGTTAATCTTGCAATGCGATTTATTTGTATTCCTTACTTCACCCTCACTCTGACAAGCAACACATATCTTGTAGCGACTTTTACAAAACACAACATAGTAAGTGGTCCTAGTATTTTTTTATTCAGGTTAGGTAGCTTTATCTAGACGAGTAGGGCGGTAGTTGGTAGACAACCGTTCCTTTTGTTGGGACCTTTAATTGGAATACGATAAGAGATAAAATGAATTTCTACCCTCTCCCTCCTCCCCCCGCCGACCTACCTGATTTTGGAAAGGAGCCGCGCAGAAAAGTTATAGCTTGTAGAAACCAATTCATTTCGGTGAGACCTTTCATTAGAATACCATGAAGGGTAGACCCCCCCCCCCATTTTCAAAAATGTTACTTGGCAACAGTAAAGGCATGCGTATGCAAATTCTGAGACCAGTTAGTTGTCGCATGTAAAAGTTATGCACGTTTTATTACATTCAAAAACAGCATCTCAGGAAATAATTCATGGGGGGTGGAGGGGATAGCGAAATTCGATGGCAGTCTGGCACACTTTCTGGTACAAAACTTTCTTGTACTCTAGTACCAGAAGTGGGTCCGGACGGACACAACGCAACAATAGCACATTTTTTTTTAATTTTTAAAAAATGCGCTAAAATGAGAGCAAAAACAAACATTGTTCTCACATACATTTGGGAGTTCGCCTCCTGAAATGTTTGTCTTTTCTTGAAAACATTGCACATAGAAGAAGAGAACTAGTGGCTTTACACAGGTTTTTGGGTATACTCTTTCCGATATCGTAAAAAATGCACTCAAATTAAGCACTTTTTAATGGGAATGAGAAAAAATTCAGATTTCAACCATTCTCGGTATCTACTTCTGACACCCGTTTCGCTGGTAAATCGCGTTTGAAATTTCACTCCACCATAAGTCAGATCTTCTGCGGAGTTACCACATTCCCTTTGTCGGTACCCACTTCATTCACAATTTGGGTTTGAAGTTTTGACTCCACCATCAGTAAGATCCTGTACGGGGTTGCCGCATTTTCTGTGTGGGTGCCCTCTACTGACGTCCTCACAGTCATGTAAATGCGCCATTTCGATGGATTTAGCTAAAAACCCTCCATAAAATAGTACTTAATTTATGGGGAACTTCTCATAGCTCGAGCTTCTATTGGCGACACGAGAGAGAGAGACTGCGATTCGAGCTTTAAGAAACTTTAAACCGCGCAGCGGAAAGTTTTAGGTGCCCGAAGTCGACTACCCCTCAAAGACGCGCGCCTTGCCTTGGTTAATTTCGCCCCTAGGAAAGAAAACACAATTCCGTGCGCGTTTACAAGATCGTTCCGACGGCACCAGTTTAAAAACATTCGTACCAAAACTGTAGAAGAAAATAGGAAAACCTGAAAAATCACCACGTTAGTAAACCACGCGTGGTGATGGCGCCCAGATGTCGCCGACCACACATCATCAGCCAGCCAGTCAGCTGGCCAAAGTGTGGTGAAAAGCTTCCTGTTTACAAATGAATTTGCAAAAATGAGTTAAAAACTGCCATAGGTTTACGTACATTTATCGTGCCACTTATTGTCCGCTTCAGAATTACAGTTAAAAGTCGAATTTTCAAAAAATAATTTTGGTTTCGCTATTTTTCTACTAAAAAAGACGCAGATACCAAACGTTTTGATCGAACCTTTCGCATCGCAATTGAGATCCTATATACCCCCATCACAATTTCCACGATATGGTAGCCATGAATTTCTAAGGCTGCCTGATATTGCGGAACAGAATACTGAAGAAAGTACTTCGATATATTTTCAGATAGTAGTAAATGCATACCGATTGTCAAAAAGCACGGGGTCATTAGCACATTTTTAGCTTCCTAGTCTGAGCTAGGTGGCTATATTGCGATCACCGTTTTTGGCCATGTCAAAATTTCATCAAATGTCGACGTTTTAGATCATTTTAACCATTTTTTAGTTCCCAAAACTTCATATACCAACAAATACGAACCTTGACCTAGGGGAATTCTCAACCAAGATTAAATCTATGGAGGATCGTTTTCAAATAACTCGTTATTTTTATTGGCTCAAGTAAATTTCAAAAGAAAGAACCTCCAAGTTATTACTGTAATGTGTAAAGCTTCAATTAGCGAAATAAGTATGTACGTTTTAATAGAACTTAACTGGGGCAAATCAGTTGCTGAATTAGTTGGATTGTTTACGTTACTGTATTAGAGTTTCAGTTTATGAACCTTCTTCCATTTAAGTACACAAATGTATATAATTTGCACCTCATTTAGAGAACAACTCATAATGAAAAGATGAAAGTCTGCTCTTTCGGACGATCAGCGAATGGAGGAGTGTGTAATCATTCTGAAAATGAGTGTCATATCTCTTTTTTTAGAACTCACCGCTGAGATGATACAGCATGCCCTTCAAGGCGTAAAACTCGGCAGTCATTTCCTTAGTGAAGTACTTGACGTTAGTGTTATTGATCACCTCCAGCCCCTCTTGTAACTCATTTTTATTCGTAAGCGACGCCATCTGCAGGTAACACTTGACCTGCTGGCGAATCTTTTGGAAGCAATCGACGATCGGCACGCTCGTAATCGTGTAAATCTTATTCAAGGAGTCCAGACAGACGTTCGTTAGCTTGTGCTTTCGGGCGATTTTGCCGAAGTAGATGATCGACTGCGAATTGTGGTTAACGGTAATTGGTCGGATTAGGTAGAGACTTACCTGGGCGGACGCGTGCACTCCCAACATCGAGTTCGTGTGACTCGACTCCCTCAAGCTTTCGTAGTGATTCACGATGAACTGATAGTGATGCTGCCTCCAAGTGAAAATGTCGTTCCAATGGGTGAGATCGTCGGCGATCACCGGTAGACGATTGCGCCATGTTTTAACGATGGCCTTCATGTCGTGCAAGGAGTTCTGATGGCCTTGCATTAAGCCCTTATGGATTTGGTAGGCCTCTTGCAATTCCATGACCTGTTGGGCGGCTTGCAGGAACGGCAGGTGGATGTGACTGACTATGTGAGGTAGGCGTCTCCATTCATTAAGGCACATCATCGTCGCGGTTTCGACGTATCTTTCGGCGACCTTCAGTGGTTTCTCTTCCGGATTGCAAATTAGTAGGAAACCGCCATAAAGCGTCACTTTCCACGCCAACTCCTTTGGACAGTTAAACTCGACGTTAGCGAGAGCTTCTTTCATAACGTCCCACGTGGGTATTCTCCAAGAGCTTTCGAGAACAGTATACGGATCATATACTCCATTCTTGGAGTATTCGAGCAGCACATCCCACTGATTCAACTCCTTCGCGCATCTTATCCAGTGATCGGTCCAAAGATGTACTTCTCGCTGAGTGTGGGCGGGCAGGGGACCTAAGGTGTTGTCCTGCTTGTGTTTGGCCATCGCGGACTCGTACGCCGCTTGGGCTTGCTCGTAAAACCCGTGCTGCTCGAACGCAATCGCGACGTTAGTCTCCTTGTAGTGCGCATGCTTCTGCCAGAGACCCGCCCAGAGGTCCTCCTCGCGCAGCAGCGAGTACAACTCCCCTAACGCGTCCAGAAGTTCCTGAAATATCCGTTACCTCAACTGACCCACGTCTTTTCACCACTTACACTTTTAGCCGTTTGGTCAGGCTCAAAATCGTAGCACGAAGCGAGATTGCTGGGTTTTGAGCCGCTCGTCTGATCGAACGACATTTGCTCAAGACCTAAAGCCATTCTGTGCCACAAATTATGCGACTTCCCGATGTATTTCATCAGAGGCCTGTCATACAATTACAAAATAACAGAAATTTGGCTTGGTAGCAACTTACGGAGCGATCTGAATGGGCGGATTGCATCTGGACAGCGCCTCGACAAATGTGTTGATCGCGCTTGGGTGGCAGTCTTTCTGAATGATGTGAGTTCCGGAAGTAATGAAGGCGAGTATCTCCGGGCTGAGACTCTGTAAGTTGGCGGGATTAAAAACAAAATGGTTTCGAAAGTCCCTACATTGCGTTGCTGCTCGTCGAGAACGTCCCACAAGCGTGGGAATAGCTGCAGCCAAATCTCTTCGGCGAGGTCCGTGTCCAGGTGACACAGTTGAGCGGTGGCGAGCAGAAAGCGATCCGTTGTTATCCCTTCTGAGACCTCTACGAACTCGAAATGCTTCGTAATCAACTTGCTGATGTTTTCGTTTCTGTTCAGTGCGACCTCTACCATTGTGTTCGATTCTGAACGGTCGATGTCTAGCACTTCCTGATGAATGTGCAAGAAAAGTGAACTCACTTAATAACGGTACATTTGCGTTAGATTTTTCATTGGGACACATGTGTATAGCCCAGATTTTTATTAATTTTTGATAATTGGAAGGGTTTTGAGGATGGTTTCCACAAATTAAAGGTTTAAATGAATTTCTTTGGGTGATCTCAATATAGGGCAGGCTTCTTCAAAATTTGGTCGCTCTATTGTTAATTGGATTAATGGTTTCCGTATACGGCACTAATTACCTGAAAATCGTTGGTGGCACCAGTCTGTCGGGAGACAAGGCAGAATTAATGGGTCATACGTGATCGTTTTTGCTAAGTAGATCTGGTTCGTGAATAAAAATGGCCGGGGCAATAGATTAGCAGCCATTTTGAAGGCGTATTTGTAAAACTGAAGAAGTGGGGATTAGAAACTAGAAAAGTTTTCGGAGGGCGAACAACGGCGGTGCTCGCGACGAGAGATAACGCGTTGACCGGAGAAGCGTCAAGTCACGACGGCGTTTAAATTCTAAGTGCATCGAGCCAAAGAAGCGATTGCGTTGATAATCAAAAAGACGGAAAATGGCGTTAAACTGGTAGCGCGTGAAAAGAAGAAAACTCAATTAAAGTGAGCACCCACAAAGAAATAGTGTGATCTCAACGACCCACGGGTATACATTCCAGGAAAAAAGAGCTCTCGAAATTCCAGTAACAACCTCGTGAAGGAGATTCACGGAATATTTCTTTCCTCTGTGTGGCTGCCATACCCCCCAGACCCCCCGGTCAAATTGCCAAATTTTTAGGACCCTTGTGACCATTTTTCAGGGAAAAGCATCCAAATATCTTTACCTGATAAACCCAAAACCGGGGGGTCTCTGAGACCCCCCGGTCTTAAACTCTCCAACAAATTGTCAAACCTTTAGCGCTCTTGTGATCATTTTTTAAGGAGGGAAATCACACTTTCTTTGTCTAAAAAATCCAACACGGGGGGCTCTGGGGGGTGTACCCCCCCAGCCACACCAAGAAAAGAAACATTCCGCGAATCTCCTTCACGAACTGTCATTGGAATTCCAAGAGTTCTTTTTCTCAAATGTAACCTGTGTGTGGCTGGGATAGACCCCCCAGTCTTAGACTCTCCAACAAATTGTCAAACTTTTAGCGCTCTTGCGATCGTTTTTCAGGGAGGGATATCCAACTTTCTTTGCCTAAAAAATCCAATACCGGGGGGTCTGGGGGGTGTGGAATACCCCCCAGCCACGCACAGGTTACACTTGAGAAAAAGAGCTCTTGGAATTCCAAAAACAGTTCGCGAAGGAGATTCACGGAATGTTTCTTTTCTTGGTGTGGCTGGGGGGTATTCCATACCCCCCGGTTTTAGACTTATCCAACAAATTGTCAAACTTTTAGCACTCTTGTGATCATTTTTCAGGGAGGGATATCCAACTTTCTTTGTCTAAAAAATCCAACACCGGGGGTCTGAGGAGTATGGAATACCCCCCAACCACACACAGGTTACACTCGAGAGAAAGAGCTCTTGGAATTCCAATGACAGTTCGCGAAGGAGATTCACGAAATGTTTTTTCCTTGTTATGGCTGGGGGGGGGGGGGTATTGTATAGATATTGTAGACCCCCGGTCATCGACTCTCCAACAAATTCTCAAACCTATAGCGCTCTTGTAATCATTTTTTAAGGAGGGAAATCCCACTTTGTTTGTCTAAAAAATGGGGCTGGGGGTTACCCCAGCCACACCAAGAAAAGAAACATTCCGTGAATCTCTTTCGCGAACTGTCATTGGAATTCCAAGAGCTCTTTTTCTCAAATGTGACCTGTGTGTGGCCGGGGGGTATTCCATACCCCCCAGACCCCCGGTTTTAGACTCCAACAAATTGTCAAACTTTTAGCGCTCCTGTGATCATTTTTTAGGGAGGGGGTATTCCACACCCCCCGGGGTTGGATTTTTTAGGCAAAGAAAGTTGGATATCCCTCCCTTAAAAATGACCACAAGAGCGCTAAAAGTTTGACAATTTGTTGGGAGAGTCTAAAACCGGGGGGGGGGGCTAGGGGGTATGGAATACCCCCCAGCCACACACAGGTTACACTCGAGAAAAGAGCTCTTGGAATTCCAAAACAGTTCGCGAAGGAGATTCACGAAATGTTTCCCCCAGACCCCCCCGTGTTGGGTTTTTTATACAAAGAAAGTGGGATATCTCTCCCTAAAAAATGATTCACGAAATGTTTCTTTTCTTGGTGTGGCTGGGGGGTACACCCCCCAGACCCCCCCGTGTTGGATTTTTTAGACAAAGAAAGTGGGATATCCCTCCCTAAAAAATGATAACAATACCGTTAAAGGTTTGACAATTTGTTGGAGAGTCTAAGATCTGGGGGTCTGGGGGGTATATTCCATACCCCCCAGACTTCGACTCTCCAGAAAAAGAGCTCTTGGAATTCAAAACAGTTCGCGAAGGAGATTCACGGAATGTTTCTTTTCTTGGTGTGGCTGGGGAGTATTCCATACCCCCCAGATCCCTCCGTTTTAGACTCTCCCAACAAATTGTCAAACTTTTAGCGCTCTTGTGATCATTTTTCAGGGAGGGATATCCAACTTTCTTTGCCTAAAAAATCCAACACCGGGGGGTCTGGAATACCCTCCCAGCCACACACAGGTTACATTCGAGAAAAAGAACTCTTGGAATTCCAATAACAGTTCGCGAAGGAGATTCAGGGAATGTTTTTTCCTTGGAATGGCTGGGGGGGGGGGGGGGGAGATATTCTATACCCCCCCCAGACCCCCCGGTTTTAGACTCCAACAAACTGTCAAATTTTTAGCGCTCTTGTGATCGTTTTTTAGGGAGGGATATACAACTTTCTTTGCCGGAAAAGTCCAATGCTGAGAGTCTGAGGGTATAGAATACCCTCCCAGGCACACCCTGGTATAAATTCGAGAAAAAAAGCTCTCAGAATTCCAATAACAACTCACAAAGAAGCTGTCCAGGAGAAATATTTTCCGAAATCTGACGACAAAAAACGGGGTCATTGACTTATGATGGCCTTGAAAATAAAATGACATTACAAAAATGGAGTCGATGACCTTTGTTAACCTTGAAAATGAAATGACCACAAAAATAAGGGTCATGCACCTCCGATTGCCTTGAAAATAAAATATGGCCTACTTTTCAAGGTCACTGCCAGAAGAGAGCGGGGAGGAGGGAGCCGCGTGCCATTGATCTTTCGGTCATCAAACTTTACTTCGACCTACTTTCCAATGGCAACAGCGCCTAAAAAGCACGGTTGCTGACCAATTACTGAAATGTATTGAGGAGAAACTCAAAATGGAAGAAAAAAATCATACCAAAACTTACATAGGTACTTACCTCTTTAATTTCAAACCCTTCGAATAAAACCGGATCCTGTTTAATCGAAAACAGATCTTCCTTCTGCAACGCATCCGCCGAACTGATAACCGAAGTTATGTTCGGCAAAATGCCGCTCTCGTGCGACATTTGTATTCTGGACTCTGCAAAAATCGGAAGTGCGGTCTAAGCTGTGAAGATGATGAAAGAATTACCTGTCGAGGCAGTGGCGAGCAGAAGTTCTATGCACTGCTTAATCCAATAGTGGGAGCCGATCGCATCCCAATTTTGTGAGCAAATAATGTACAGCAGACGATCGTGCAATCTTCTACGCATGGACGAGTCGAACACTTTGAAGAACTTCATCCTGATGTTTGGTTGGGTACACCTCAGGCCGGAGAGGAAGGCGGATTCTAGTTTAGAGGTCAGCTCGGTCTGTTTCAATTGTTCATCTCTAAAAACATCATGCAAAATTGGGGACTGCTCTAAATTAACCAAAAAACTCGTGTACTCCCTTTAATTTAAGAATGCATAAAAATTAAAAAACAATTTTTTAAAAATGATAAAACTGATAAAGAGGCATTTATAAAAATTCCAGAAAAATTCAAAAAATCAGGCACAACTAAAAAGAAAATAAAAAACTCATATAATTAGACTGGAAACGTGATAACTATATAAGAATTGAATCTGTGTATGCATTAGTTATATGAAGTACATCAATATTTTAAATCACAAAAAAATGGAAAGAAAACTGAATTAGGAACGAGATTATTTTCACCAATATATTCAAACAAGTCCATTTATATTACTAGGTCATTGAGATACTAACTCAATGGACTAGGTATTCAATTCATCTAACATTTGTCACATTTCGACCAGTGAAATGCCGCGATTTCAAATTGGTGAGCCAATGGGAACGAATTATAGTGAAAATTTTTTGCTTACTTAGAAATCCAATGAAATTTATATATTTGAGGTCATGTGAATAAAAATATCCAATTACAGCAACATTACACTGATAACAGATCCCATGGGCTGTTTTCACTTCTTTGCTACAGATACGCATGAATGTCAATTTTGAAGTTTCACATAAATTAATATAAATTTTTATGTGGTAAGATTGCTCTGAGGCTGACCAATGGCCATGTGTTCTCAACCCCTTGCAACATACTCCCCAACCTGTATTTGAAGCATCTGAAAAAATCTCCAAATCAAATTGTAATTTCTCTAAACCGTTTCCTGAATTTGATAAATTTTTTCGCCACCACTCAAAATCATCCTTTAGACTAGAGGGAATTTGCATGGTTGCGTCATAATTTTCTCCATGAGAATTTAAAGCTAACAGTTTTACTCTTTCAAAATTCCTAGTGTGAAGCCAACCAAACTTCATGGCCGGGTTTATGGAGACCAACTTTCCTACCAATGTAGCAAAATCACGTATCTTGCAAAAGTTTAAAATAGAGGAATTATTTACCATCTTAAACAGTTTCTCAACTTTTTTATCCGGAATTTTAATAGACATTTCTACAGTATTAATAGTAAATCCCAAAAATTCACAAACCTGTTGAGGAGCCATGCAACTCTTTTCTTTATTTATAATAAATCCCAAAGACTCCAAAAGGGTAGCGGTCTGAGTAACGTTATGCAAACAATTCCTATAGGAATCTCCTAAAAGTAAGAAGTCGTCCAGATAAACCACTGATAAAAGTCCAGCAGTTCTAAGGTGGGAAACAACTGGCTTCATAATCTTAGTAAAAATATATGGAGCACAACTTAAACCAAATGGTAAACAATTAAACTCAAATAAGTCTCCGTTAAATGAAAATCTCAAAAATTTCCTATGACCTCTATCAATTGACAAGAGGAAATAGGCATTCTTCAAATCTAATTTAGCTAGAAAACAATTTTTGCTAACTAATGTCCGGGCAGTCTTGATATCTTCCAGTTTAAAATAATTATAAGCAATAAAGTCATTAAGCTCTTTTAAGTTCAATATTAAACGTAAGCTACCGTCTGGTTTCGGGACTAAAAAAATATTTGAGATAAATTGCCCAGAACAACTGGTCACTCGACTAATAGCCCCCAATTTTAAAAGCTCCTCCTCCAAATGATTGTCTTCGATCGGTAAAATGTCCTTACCGTTCTTAAAATATACTATTGCAAAAGGCGGGTTGACAGGGGGCGTAGTCAACGGTCGTGCAAGTCATGACCGTAGATCACTACTAGTGTAAACACTCAAGTCGCGAAATATGATCAGTAGTAGAGCAACACCGATCCTGGACCACTTTGACCTTGAGTTCTGCGCATGCGCCAACTCCAAATTTGATACTACTGCGCATGCACCAATTCCAAGGTCATTTGAACTACTGCGCGTGTGCTAAGCCATTGGGTTAGTCACCCCATGGGTTATTGCGCTCGGTGTTGGGGCCAGGTCCTGCATTGAAATTCCCATACGCGTGTTCAAGGTCATTTGGGGTCTCAAAAGTGAAGGCCATGTGTAGGCTTGAAACTCTGCTCAAAGTCACTAGAAGGTCACGAGAGGTTTGAAACTCTGCTAACAGTCACTAGAAAAGTAACTAGGTTTGAAACTCTGCGTCACTCGAGAGGGTTGAAACTCTGCTAGTGATATAGGGGTCGATTCTAAATCAAAAAGTCACTAGAAAAGTAACTAGGTTTGTAACTCTGCTGGCGAGGTTTGCGCCTGTGCTAACGTCAAAGTCAAGGGGGTCGAGGTTTGCGCTCGAGATAAAGTATCGGAGGTGGCCGATTCTAAATTACACTATATTCTAAATATGACTTTGAAGATGTGGTGGGGATTGACGCTTATATAAGCCTCTATATGTTCGTTACAAGGTGTACATGTATTAAAGATGTCGTGGATGGCATATGCTGAGGAATCATTGGCCAAAGCTGTCGATTTCGTAACGGCCGTGAGACGCCTTAAGCAGCATTTTTCTGCATTAGCATTTGATGCAGAGCACGAGGCGATATATGGACGCGGTGAATATAGCCCAGAGGAGTGCCAAGCTATTGCCGCAAAGTATGAGTTAGGAGAGTGTAACAGTTTAGTTTATTCATATTCAAATTTCAAAATTACCGCTTGCTAGGTTAGGTAGGATATAGGTGAGATGGCGTCACTTGTACGCGTGTTTCTTTCCTCGCGCAGAATCGCGTTATTTTTTCATTTCCGTTTTAAAGCCAACGAGGTTGTACTTGTTGTAGAGCGTGGCATTGTGAATTCTTCTTAAACCAGTGGGTAATATTTGCCATCATTCACGTGAAATCTCTGGCAATTTTACCTTTTTATTGGCGTTGTCGAGTAGAGTAACTCAGAAGCCGTTTTCTCCATTGCGAGGCTATATATCTGGTTGAAGTTCATCGCCCTACCTACATGTAAGTGAAATGGCGTTGGTTTTCTTTTACGTTATGTTATCTAAAATTCTTTCAGACTCACAATTTGAGGTTGGATAATTTCCCTATTTCATTGATTTAAGTATTTTTCATTACCCTCCTGACGATTTCAGGTATGTTATTAAAAATCTCGTTAAGGGAGTGTTACATCTTCATTACTTTTAGGGGGTCCATGTAGTAGATGAATTCTTGTACCGGTCAATCCATGTAGTAGGTCAATCCTTGTACAGACGAATCCTTGTATGTAAATGAATTTGCATCTTGCGAATATTCCGGAGTACGAACACCTGTTGATTGCCGGCAGCTATCCGGCGTACCACCGAGTAGATAAGCGCTAACACCTAAACGATACCGGGAGCGACCAGCTGATTGTGGAATTTTCGGAAGATACGATCTTTTACACAACCCTTTTTTTTATTTGCTTCAATACCGTTAATCTAGTGTAACCTTCCGACGATTTATGATTGGAGCTTTGTATTTTGTTCGCATCTAGTGTTTGAGGTCGTGGCTCTCTTCAAGAGCAACGCACCTGTATTTAACGTATGGGTAAACGAGCCGGCTACGAGTAAGCTATTTTTTTTGGCCCTTCCGGCTCATATAATCGTTCCGAGCGTTGTAGCTTGGGGTTTGTTTTTGTGTTACAGAACTGGAACTTCGAAGGAGAGCTCTTTTTCGGAGAAGACAGCGTATGTGTTATTCAAGGTAAGATTTTTAATTTACTTGTACCCAGTGTTGCCTATATGAGTTGTTATTCGGGTTAACTTAATTCAATCGTTGAATCCATTGAAATCTTAGCTACATTTTTGCTCGATCATTGTTGTAGGGGTCTGGTAACGTAATTATTAGGGAAGTGTTCATGAATTTATTTGGGGATTATTTTTGTCATTTAAAGTATTTGTTATTGTCGTATTGAAGATACATTTTATTTGCCGATCCTGCACCGTTTTTGCCAGGATTAATAAATCAGAATTGCTCGTAGTGAATTTATTATTTGGCTCTCTTGTGTTTTCCCAATTTCTATACAGGAGAGGTCAGAATTTGTGCAAAATTGGGTGGCGCTCAACTAATCATTTCTAGTGACTACCAAAGATCAAAAACTTATGTTATATGCCCAAACGAACAAACCGCTGTGGAAGATTCTCATCTCGAGCCCTTCTTTTAATTAAGAATCTGAGCTAGCTGGCCGTTTATGCGGCGGGGTTTGAGTTTTACAGCGCCGAACTAACCTCACGTTATAAAGTGACACCCTTCAACGTGTGGCCTGGGCATAATTTGTTTAAATTTAAGTTTTTGGCCTTATTTTTAAATTATCTCTTCTAAATTGAACTTCGTACTTGCAACTTATTTTTTATTTGTGGTTATTACTGATATTTGTGTATTTCTTGGTATTTAACAGGTACCTATATTGTGTTATCTTTTTATATTTGTATTTTGAATTTATTGTGTGATCATGGCTATGGAAATTAACCGATTAAGAGAGACTGAACTCCAATATGAAATTGAGATTAGAGCGGGACAAATGGGGAGTAATATGAACGAAAGTCGTTTAATTCTCAGAAAATTGTTAGAGTTAGAGAAAGCACCTGGTTATGTTGCTCCAGAGTACCCTTTTACCTTTGCTCAGGATTTAGCTGCTCTTACTGAATTGACAGTGATCCTTCAGAATAAGATTGACAATTTTGATGATGCTTTTGGGGGAGGTTCATATTTGTCAATTGTTACCATGCTAGCTCATGCCGACAGACGTTTACATAGGACTCGCACATTATTGCAGCCTTCTGCTGAACAATTAAGTAAACTTGGGGAATTAGTTGGTTTATTTCGACAATTAAGAGCTTCACTCGATAACAAAGCTTTTCATTTTAACGACTCAATTATGCCTTCAGCAACTGCTGTAGTTTCTTCTACACCTACTAGACGTACTGCAGAACTACAACCAAGATTATCCGTACCGAGTACTCCTGTACATAAATGGGGATTAAAATTTTCCGGGGATAGTAGAGGTGAAACTTTGAATTCATTTATCGACCGAGTTGAGCGAATGGCTCGTGCTCGCGGAGTAGATCATCCAACTTTATTTGAGACTGCCTACGATTTATTTGAAGGTACTGCGAACACCTGGTACAACATTAATTCTCATAAAGCTACTTCATGGGAGCACTTAGTGCAATTACTACGAGATGCATTTCTACCACCACACTATGAGGAAGATTTGCTCGACGAAATTAAAGCTCGTTTACAGGGTCAGAATGAAAAAGTAGACATTTATTTTGCAGTAATGCAGGGTTTATTTTCACGACTAAAATTACCACCTCCAGAATATGAACAAGTCCGTTTAATTAAACGCAATTTATCACCATTTTATTTGACTAAATTAGGTCCTAATGTTCCTCAGACATTAGATGAACTTTTAATTGAATGCAGACGTTTTGACGATATCAAACATGATTTAGACAGACACCATGCCTTACGCAACCGAACATCATTACCATTACTCGAACCTGGGTTTAGCTGTCCCACCAGTAGTCGACAAATGTCACCACGTCCACCTATTTATGCAATGGAAACTCCAAATTCTCCTTGCTTTAATTGCCAAAAATTAGGTCATCATCGTGTTGATTGTCCTGAACCAAGGCAATTATTTTGCTGGAAATGTGGCGCACAAGGCGTTACGGTGCGCAGTTGTTCTTTTTGTTCGGGAAACGCTCCGAGAAACGCTCATTAAGTCGTCGTGACGTTTCTTTAGTACAGGCGACAAACATTTTGAAAATTTCTTCCAAACCTAAACTTGACTTTTTATTACAGCATGTGGGAAATGACTTGAGACCTTATGTCCAAATTAAAATTTTAGACATTCCTTTTTTGGGATTATTAGATTCTGGCGCTTCACGTTCTTTTATCAATTCCGATACTTTAATTCAATTGCAAATACTCAATTTCAATTTTGTACCGAAAGTTATTTCTTGTACGGTAGCAAATAGCTCCGATGCACATTCGATTGGTTACATCACTGTGCCAATTACCTTAAAGGATCGTACTGTGCTGTTAGATTTGTTGGTGATGCCTGATTTGGTTACTAATTTAATCCTGGGAGTAGATTTTTGGGATAGGATGGGTATCATTCCGAATATTAGCGATGACTGTTGGCATTTTACTTCTTGCACGCCAACTCAACCTAGTGTGGCCATAGTGGAACAGTCTCGTCTCACTGATGAACAACACCATTCTTTACAAACCCTCTTAGATCTGAAATTTTCGCTCATGGGAGACAAGTTAGGATTAACCCCAGTAGGTAGACACGAGATACGCCTGGTAGAGGGCGCTATTCCTATTAAACAGCGGTACTATCCAGTAAATCCGATTAAACAGAAAATCATTAACGACACCATTGATGAGATGCTTAGGGACAGAGTCATCGAACCATCGAACAGCGGATGGGCTTCACCTGTCTGTCTGATTCCCAAGAAAGACAAAACCTATAGATTTTGTGTGGACTATAGGAAACTTAACTCTTTAACTGAGCGCGACGCTTTTCCTTTGCCCTATATATCAATACCATCTTAGACCAATTACGTGACGCTAAATATCTTAGTTCCCTGGACATTAAGTCAGCTTATTGGCAAATAGAGGTTGCTGAAGATTCGCGCCCTTTCACAGCTTTTACTGTGCCTGGTCGTGGTCTTTTCCAATTTCGAAGGATGCCCTTCGGCTTGACTAATGCCCCTGCGACTTTTCAGCGCATTATCGATACCATTTTGGGACCTGAATTGCAACCCAACGTTTTGGTTTATTTGGACGATGTGGTTATTATATCACAAGACTTTGACTCACATTTAAAAATTTTGAACACCGTTTTTGACAAATTAATTGCTGCTGGCTTCACTCTGAATAAAAACAAATGTCACTTCTGCCGTTCAGAACTTAAGTATTTAGGGTATGTTGTGGATTCCTTTGGCTTACACCCAGATCCTGACAAAGTCAAGGCGATTTTAGATATTCCAACACCCACTACGGTGAATGATATACGACGTTTCTTAGGAACTTGCGGTTGGTACCGTAGGTTCATTCCTGATTTTTCAACCGTTCTTGCTCCTTTAACCAGACTTCTTCGGAAAAATGTTAAGTTTGAATGGACGTCTGAATGTGAGGAATCTTTTCTCAAATTAAAAGAACTTTTGGCAACTGCACCTGTGCTCAATTGCCCGGATTTTACCAAACCTTTTGTCCTTCAGACCGATGCTTCTGCTTATGGGCTAGGAGCTGTCTTGACTCAAACTTTTCCGGATGGGGAGCGAGTGGTATGTTATTTATCCCGATCATTATCCCGAGCGGAACAAAATTACAGCACGACTGAACGTGAGTGCTTAGCAGTCATTTGGGCGGTAGAGCAACTTCGACATTACCTCGAAGGAGTTTCTTTTACAGTCATTACTGACCACCATTCTCTTTTGTGGTTGCATTCTTTGAAAGACCCCCAAGGACGTTTAGCACGCTGGGCTCTTCGTTTACAGCCGTATACCTTTACTCTTGTCCATCGTAAAGGCAAGGACAATATTGTTCCCGATCTTTTGTCACGTACTGTACCTGTGATCGAAGCTGTACATTCTTCAGATGTTACGGTGGATCCGAACGATTTCAAAACTTCTAAAGACCCTTGGTACCTTGGTATGTTTGAAAGATTAGAGCGAAGTCCTCATAAATATCCCGATTGGCGAGTGAAAGATTCGTTGTTGTATAAATATATCAAGTCCGCTTTACAATCTCATGATTATGAAAAATGGAAACTTGTTGTTCCTTCTGATTTTAGACAATCTCTTATACAAGAGAACCACAATAATGTTACTTCAGGACACCTTGGTGTTTATAAGACCTTTTGGCGCATTCATCACCGATATTATTGGCCGAGAATGAAGTGCGATATTAAGCGTTATATTTCTCGCTGTACCACCTGTGCACAACATAAACCTGAACAACTTCGACCTGCAGGGCTTATGGGTTCACATCCTCAAATTTATGAACCGTGGCAGATGATCAGCTTAGATTTTATTGGTCCTTTACCTCGATCCACTCAAGGGCGAACTCATTTATTAGTTGTTAGTGACTATATGAGTAAATTTGTACTTCTTTTTCCCATAAGGACGGCGAATGCCAAAACTCTTGTCAAATGTATTGAAGATTCTGTATTTCTTGTGTATGGAGCTCCACAATTCCTTATTTGTGACAATGGCGTGCAGATGCGCAGTAGACTTTTCTTAGATCTGTGTGAAAGCTACCGTGTAAAGGTTCGGTTTACTCCTTTTTATCATCCACAGGCTGATCCTGCGGAGAGGGTGAATCGTGTGGTAAAGCAATTGATAGCCACTTACGTTAAGAACAATCACAAACATTGGGACGTTCATTTAGCTTCGATAGCTTGTGCTCTTCGAACTTCTAAGCACGAAACCATAGGTGTGACTCCCTATCGTGCTAATTTTGGGAAAGAATTTCGTATTCGAGGGGACAGCTTCGACACTGACATGACGGACAATGAGCCGATTGACGTAGAACAACGGTTAGCGCAACAGCAAGGACTGTACGACAAAATTATTGCACGCATTAAAGACAGTCATGACCGCAACAAGCAACATTATGACTTACGACGTAGGCATGTTAACTATGAGATAGGAGATTTGGTTTGGCGTAAAAATAAGACTTTGTCTGATGCCACTAAAGATTATTCAGCGAAGTTAGCTCCCAGATTTTTAGGACCATTTACGGTTAGCCGTAAAATGGGGTATTTGACCTATGAGTTGAAAGATTCTAATGGTAAATCTTCTGGAACGTGGCACGTCCAGGATCTCAAACCTTATATTGAACCCGATGATCATGGTTAGACATTTATTGTCGCCGGATTGCTTGTTTGTTGACGATTTTGAACCACTAATTTTGACGTATTCTTATTCTTGGATTTGACTTTGATATATGTATTTATATGTTATATGTTCCATATTTCTTCTTCTTCTTACTCTTTGGGTGGTTTGGTTGGGCATAGGGGATGGTTTCTAGGATCATAGCTTAAGACCTGCTAGGGGGGGATTTTCTTCTTTTCTCCCGATCCATTTCCTCTTTTTTCTTCCTTTTTCTATTTGCACCTCGACCACTTCTTTTCTTCTAATTTCCACAGGGGAGATTTGGGAGAGGTTGCCCTTTTCTTTTCACTTTCCTATTTTTCTATCTTTTTCTACTCTTCTTTCTTCCGTTCCACAGAGTGTATGTTCGTATGAATGGATGTATGAGTGATACACAAGAGGAAGGGGGTGGGTGCGCCTTCCCTGTGCGAGCCTCGGTGACCATGGGACCCCTGGAATCGGCATGAATGAGTTTTTTTTTCTCCGCAAATGTGATTTCTTCTTTCTCTCTTACTATCTTCCATAGCACCTTCTTCATTTCATTGCGCTAGTGCATGGTGGAGTTGGGTTGGAAAGGGGCCTTTAAGGGGTTCCCTTATTCACCTTTTCGGCAAGGGGGTCAAAATTTGGGCTTTTGTGTCGTTTTTAGTCAGGGAGGGGGGTTTCTTTATTTTGGGGATTTTGGTGCTGCATCACTTGAAACTGTAGGGTTTCTTTCTTCTGGGTGGGCACTGGATTTGGTTTTCTTGGGGGTGACTAGTAGTTGGATTGGGTTGTGGGAAAGGGGTTGCTATTGTCATGATACCCGACGGCGCGAGATTCCATCTTTACGCGAGGGCATGTCAATACCCGATTTTGCATACCTTTTCCGCTGCTGGAGAACCTGGGAAAATTCTTTGAAGGTGAAATTCTTTGGGGGGGGAGTTTTTTTTACACTGGGGTGGGTTTTCGGGTTTTCAATTTGTTTGCTTCCTTTTCGAGTGTGTGTGCTGGGTTTTTCGATCGTCGGAAAACTTGTAGTTTCCCTCCTGTCGAAGGAGAGGGGGGGTGTAACAGTTTAGTTTATTCATATTCAAATTTCAAAATTACCGCTTGCTAGGTTAGGTAGGATATAGGTGAGATGGCGTCACTTGTACGCGTGTTTCTTTCCTCGCGCAGAATCGCGTTATTTTTTCATTTCATTTCCGTTTTAAAGCCAACGAGGTTGTACTTGTTGTAGAGCGTGGCATTGTGAATTCTTCTTAAACCAGTGGGTAATATTTGCCATCATTCACGTGAAATCTCTGGCAATTTTACCTTTTTATTGGCGTTGTCGAGTAGAGTAACTCAGAAGCCGTTTTCTCCATTGCGAGGCTATATATCTGGTTGAAGTTCATCGCCCTACCTACATGTAAGTGAAATGGCGTTGGTTTTCTTTTACGTTATGTTATCTAAAATTCTTTCAGACTCACAATTTGAGGTTGGATAATTTCCCTATTTCATTGATTTAAGTATTTTTCATTACCCTCCTGACGATTTCAGGTATGTTATTAAAAATCTCGTTAAGGGAGTGTTACATCTTCATTACTTTTAGGGGGTCCATGTAGTAGAAGAATTCTTGTACCGGTCAATCCATGTAGTAGGTCAATCCTTGTACAGACGAATCCTTGTATGTAAATGAATTTGCATCTTGCGAATATTCCGGAGTACGAACACCTGTTGATTGCCGGCAGCTATCCGGCGTACCACCGAGTAGATAAGCGCTAACACCTAAACGATACCGGGAGCGACCAGCTGATTGTGGAATTTTCGGAAGATACGATCTTTTACACAACCCTTTTTTTTATTTGCTTCAATACCGTTAATCTAGTGTAACCTTCCGACGATTTATGATTGGAGCTTTGTATTTTGTTCGCATCTAGTGTTTGAGGTCGTGGCTCTCTTCAAGAGCAACGCACCTGTATTTAACGTATGGGTAAACGAGCCGGCTACGAGTAAGCTATTTTTTTTGGCCCTTCCGGCTCATATAATCGTTCCGAGCGTTGTAGCTTGGGGTTTGTTTTTGTGTTACAGAACTGGAACTTCGAAGGAGAGCTCTTTTTCGGAGAAGACAGCGTATGTGTTATTCAAGGTAAGATTTTTAATTTACTTGTACCCAGTGTTGCCTATATGAGTTGTTATTCGGGTTAACTTAATTCAATCGTTGAATCCATTGAAATCTTAGCTACATTTTTGCTCGATCATTGTTGTAGGGGTCTGGTAACGTAATTATTAGGGAAGTGTTCATGAATTTATTTGGGGATTATTTTTGTCATTTAAAGTATTTGTTATTGTCGTATTGAAGATACATTTTATTTGCCGATCCTGCACCGTTTTTGCCAGGATTAATAAATCAGAATTGCTCGTAGTGAATTTATTATTTGGCTCTCTTGTGTTTTCCCAATTTCTATACAGGAGAGGTCAGAATTTGTGCAAAATTGGGTGGCGCTCAACTAATCATTTCTAGTGACTACCAAAGATCAAAAACTTATGTTATATGCCCAAACGAACAAACCGCTGTGGAAGATTCTCATCTCGAGCCCTTCTTTTAATTAAGAATCTGAGCTAGCTGGCCGTTTATGCGGCGGGGTTGAGTTTTACAGCGCCGAACTAACCTCACGTTATAAAGTCAATTTTGAAGTTTCACATAAATTAATATAAATTTTTATGTGGTAAGATTGCTCTGAGGCTGACCAATGGCCATGTGTTCTCAACCCCTTGCAACATACTCCCCAACCTGTATTTGAAGCATCTGAAAAAATCTCCAAATCAAATTGTAATTTCTCTAAACCGTTTCCTGAATTTGATAAATTTTTTCGCCACCACTCAAAATCATCCTTTAGACTAGAGGGAATTTGCATGGTTGCGTCATAATTTTCTCCATGAGAATTTAAAGCTAACAGTTTTACTCTTTCAAAATTCCTAGTGTGAAGCCAACCAAACTTCATGGCCGGGTTTATGGAGACCAACTTTCCTACCAATGTAGCAAAATCACGTATCTTGCAAAAGTTTAAAATAGAGGAATTATTTACCATCTTAAACAGTTTCTCAACTTTTTTATCCGGAATTTTAATAGACATTTCTACAGTATTAATAGTAAATCCCAAAAATTCACAAACCTGTTGAGGAGCCATGCAACTCTTTTCTTTATTTATAATAAATCCCAAAGACTCCAAAAGGGTAGCGGTCTGAGTAACGTTATGCAAACAATTCCTATAGGAATCTCCTAAAAGTAAGAAGTCGTCCAGATAAACCACTGATAAAAGTCCAGCAGTTCTAAGGTGGGAAACAACTGGCTTCATAATCTTAGTAAAAATATATGGAGCACAACTTAAACCAAATGGTAAACAATTAAACTCAAATAAGTCTCCGTTAAATGAAAATCTCAAAAATTTCCTATGACCTCTATCAATTGACAAGAGGAAATAGGCATTCTTCAAATCTAATTTAGCTAGAAAACAATTTTTGCTAACTAATGTCCGGGCAGTCTTGATATCTTCCAGTTTAAAATAATTATAAGCAA